AAAACCGGGGAGTGACCCCAAGGTGGGAGATGTCCCCAAATCCAGGCTGGGACGCTGGGAATGCTCTGAAGTGACCCCAAAACTGGGCCGGGATTTGGGGTAAAATTGGGATTGCGGGATGCGCTGGAGAACGGGGATAATTCCCGGATGGGAAATGGAATTCCCGCTGATTTCCCACATTTCCATTCCCATATTTCCGTCCCCACTGTCCATTCCCATATTTCCGTTCCCATGTTTCCATTCCCATATTTCCATCCCACTGTCCGTTCCCATATTTCCGTTCCCATATTTCCATTCCCATATTTCCATTCCCATATTTCCATTCCCATATTCCCATCCCCGCTGATTTCCCACATTTCCGTTCCCATATTCCCGTCCCCACTGATTTCCCCCATTTCTCGGATTTTTAGGGGCCGAAGGGCGAGCAGGGCCCGCCGGGGGTCCCGGGACCCCAAGGATTGCCGGGGGTCAAAGGGGACAAGGTGAGGGGGATGGGAACGGGAATGGGAATGGGGATGGGGATGGGGATGGGGATGGGAATGGGGACGGGGCCGCGCTAATCCCAATTCTTGATTGTTATAGGGTTCACCGGGGAAAATTGGCCCCAAAGGCAGCGTCGTGAGTGAATCCTGGGTTAATGGGGTGGAGTTTAATGGGGCTGGGTTAATGGGGTCAAGTTTAATGGGAATGGGTTAATGGGGTGGGGTTTAATGGGATTGGGTCAATGGGGTTGGGTTTAATGGGGATGGGAATAAAGGGAATAACCTTAAATCCAGGTCTAATGGGGCCGGGTTTAATGGGAAAAATGGGAATAATGGGAATAACCATAAACCCGAGTTTAATGGGGCTGGGTTTAATGGAGTTGGGTTAATGGGGTTGGGTTTAATGGGGTCGGGTTAATGGGGCTGGGTTTAATGGGGTTGGGTTCAATGGGATTGGGTTTAATGGGGTCAGGTTTAATGAGGGCGGGAATACTGGGGCTGGGTTTAATGGGGCCTGGTTTAATGGGGAAAATGAGAATAATAGGAATAACCCTAAACCCAGGTTTAATGGAGCTGGGTTTAATGGGGTTGGGTTTAATGGACTCGGTTTAATGGGAAAAATGGGAATAACCCTAAACCCGGGTTTAATGGGGCTGAGTTTAACAGGGCCGGGTTCAACTCTGGGCACCTCTCCCGGAGCTCTGTCCTGATCCCAGCGGGGTTTGGGATTGACTTTGGGACAGTCCCAAATCCCTTTCTGTCCCTTTAGGGTGACCCCGGTGTGCACGGGCTGGCGGGGCTCAAGGGAGACAAGGTGGGCGCTGCTTCTGGAACCTTCCGGGGCTTCTGTGGGGTCCCTGCCCGACCCCAAAACCCCCTGGGTGTGTCCTGACCCACCGACCCCAAAATCCCTGGCCATGTCCTCATCCCCCAACCCCAAAACCCCCTGGGTGTGTCCTGAGCCACCGACCCCAAAACCCCCAGGCATGTCCTCACTGCCCGACCCCAAAACCCCAGCACAAGGCCTCACTGCCTGACCCCAAAACTCGGGTGTGGCCTCGCCCCCCGACCCCAAAACCCTCATGCATGGCCTCACCGCACAGCCCCAAAACCCAGTCACTGCCTGACCCCAAAACCCCCGGACATGTCCTGACCCCATTCCCGTGTCCTCTGTCCCCAGGGCGAGTCGGGAGAACCGGGACCCAAGGGACAGGTGAGTGACGGGATCGGGGATTTGTGGGATCGGGGATTTGTGGGATCGGGGCCGAGGGATCCCCGCAGCTCTCGGGGATTTGTGGGATCGGGGGAATATTTTCCCTGGGATGGGGTGCTGGGAGCACCATCAGCCCCATTTGGGTTCAGACTCAGCCCAGGTTTAGGATCCATCCCCATTTGGGATCCAGCCGTGCCTACGCTGTTTCCCTCAGTTTTTGGGATCCAGCCATGCCTGTGCTGTTCCCCTGTTAGTTTTTGGGGTCAGGGCTCTCTGCCCCATTCCCAGGCTGTTCTGACCCCGTTCCCATTCCCGTTCCCATTCCCAGCACGGCGTTTCGGGGGATCGGGGTCACCCCGGCCCCTCGGGGGATGCGGGGGCTCCGGGGCCTCGGGGTCAGCCCGGCCCGCCCGGCCCGCGGGGGCTGCAGGGGGAGCGCGGGGTGCCGGGGATGCC